TGGAACCATCTCCTACACTCCTTCTTGTCGTAGATATTTATCAAATACCCATTATTTCACCCCAGGGCCTGTGCTAGGCCACAGAGTTTCAACAGAGAACAAGGTAAACAAGATCCCCACTCTTGCAGAGCTCAGAGTCCAGCGGGGGAGAGACACCGAACGAGGTTTGACTCATACCCAAGCATGTGCAAGATATGCTTTATTTTCTCTGAAAACCAATTTCTGCTCTACTCTGAATGCCCATCCTGTTGGAGCAGCAAGAAATTCAATCTCAGCCTACTCAGGATTGCCCCCCGCCCCAGGCGAAGCAAAGGTTCTGAGGCTTTAATGAGTGCCCAGGCACTGGAGAGGTTCCTGCCCACCCACCATGCATCGGCATCTGTCTCTCCTGGCCGGTGTGTGGAGCAGTGGAGCTTGGTGCGGACTTGGGGGCCCAGTCCCCATAGGTCAGCCTGCAGCCTGCCCCCCGGAGGTGAACTACTTCCTTGGGTACTGCCTCAGAGGCTGTAGGACTCTCTGCTGCTTGTGGACCCCACAGACTGCTCAGTTCCTGGCCTGCTCCAGTTTTTAGTTGCAGGAGGATGCCAGCCTCTTCCCCTTGTTCTCAGAGCCCTCCTCTCTCCTCACAGCCCCCACAACACCCTGCATAGTCTTCTCCATGAATGCAAGCTTTGAGGCCAAAAGCCAGGAGGGAAAATCTTGCAACTGCTTTCTGCCCTCCCACACACCTCCCCTGAGACCAGAACCCCAGAGCCTGCTACCTGCTGGCATTAAAAAAAAAAAGAGAGAGAAGAAAAGGCAAGAAGCCCAGGGGGGCAAAAACACATGAATTGATGTTTGAATAAATTTTCTTGTCGGGGTGAGGCCAGCCTTCAGCCAGCCAACATCTGGGAATGAGATGGAGCAGGTTTGGAACCCAGTACCCCTGAGGTGGGGACATGTGTTCTGAAGTGTAGAGAAATGTAGAATTTGTCTCATGAGGCTCCACTCTTTCAAAAAAAAAAAAAAATGAGGGCCTCCCCTGGTGGCGCAGCGGTTGAGCGCTGGGTTGTGAGGCTGCCCACAGCCTCTGCAGCGCCAGTTCGATCCCCGGCCACTGGCGAGGGTCCCATAAAAAATAAAAAAATAAAAAAATAAGATGGGAGAGGAAAGACAAGATATCAGACACCAATCGAGGTGAGACCTGTAGGGACCGCTCACAGGCTCCTTGGGCAGAGATGAGGCAGAGCCAGAGAATCCAGATACAGAATTGGGATTGTTAAGGGGAAATGATGTCCTGAGCTAATCCCATACAGGCTTTGTGGACCCCACCCACACTCCAGACTAAAGCCATCAAGACTCTGGGAAAGACAAATCCCATCACCACCAAGGGAGGGTGGCTGGGACCTGAGGGTGGAGTTGGGCAGCCAGGTTGGATATAAAAACCAAACACGTGGGCCTTGGGGGGCTCGCTGTCACTCGCCTCCTGGCTTCACGGCTCCTGGCTGGCGGCCAGCTCTCAGAGCGCCATTTTGGGATTCCTGATCGGCGGATCGGGTAGGACTCATTTAAAACTTTGTCTCCCGCTTTTCTCCCAGAGCTGTACATTTCCTCATTTCCCCTTCCCTTGTAAATAAACCTTTTATTAACCTTTCGCGTGTGCCTGCAGGAGAGCATTGATAAGTCCTTTTAAGCGCGCGGGTGAGGACCCACAGTCAGGCACCCCGTTTTGTATCGGGGTTGCTCTACAACAGGATGAACCCGACGTCCCAGCTCACCCTCTCGTGGTCCCAGCATCCCAGACCAGCAGGAAGCCGACCTCTGCTTGCATACACCTATGGGGCACCCACTTCCTCCCAGGGCAGGCCTTGTCCAAATTGCCCGTTACGGTGGACATCGGTCCTCCTCCATGGACTTGTGGCTGCTAATACTCGTCTTAGGTTGCACAGAAAGATGCAGTAAAATCATACCCCACTTGATCACTGATATTTGAATAATCTTGTGCCAGTTGCAACTTCTCCAAGTCTGTTTCCTTTTCTAAGAAATGTGCACAGCAATAGTGTTGAATGTGCTCTCAGTTTCTCTCAGCCAATAAAAGGAAACAGAGTTTGAGGAGAAGGAAATTAGTTTCATTTGTTAACAAATTGAGGAGGGCAGCAGACTCGTGTCTGAAAGGCCACATCCTCCCCGTTGGCAGAGTGCAGAGGTATTTACACAAAGGAGTAGAAAGGGGACATGGGCAAGGGTCAGCATGTCCTTTTGGTGCAACATCTGGAGATTTCTGGGGAGATTGGGATTGGGTACCAGCTAGCTTCGTGAACACCTGGTCTTTAGCAATTTCCATATTATCTTCTCAGGGATGTTCTTTCTTTTCAGAATGTAAGAAGACAAGTTTGTTAAACAAGGCACGGTTGTTTACAAGGAGGGTAAATAAAAGAAATAGAATGTTTGCTGGTGGAGCAGGAAGACAGACATGACCTTTTATCACTGCCTGAAGTGTTATTATATTAGACAGGGGTGAGTGGTGGAGCACTCCACTGGTGACCCTGGTTCCTCCTTCCCCAGGGTGCGCCTGCTAAATGCACATGGGCTCTGAGTCAAGCTATCTGGGTTCACACCCTCCCCCCCACCCCTTACTATGTGTGTGACTGGGCAAATTACTTCACTTCTCTATGTGTTAATTTCAGCCCCTGGAAAATAGAGAATAGAATGATATTTACTTCAGAAAGTTGCTGTGAGGTTTTGATGAGCTAAGCATTAGTCATAAAACCCTGCAGGGCCTGTATAATTTCCTTCCTTTTTGACCATCAGAAGACCGTGATTTTGTCCCCTCAAGTCTTCCTCTTTCTGGGGTACAACACATCTCTGTTGCATGAGGCCACCCTCCCCCAGGTGGAAGAACGCCCTCCAGGGTGTCCACAGCTTCCTCATTTTGTGGTCACAGAACTGAGAAAACCCCCATGGGTGAGGCCTCCATCCAAGGAGGAGAGGGGTCCATTGCCTCATGCCTCCCCTGACCCGTTCTCTTCCCGTCACAGCAGATGGGGTAGAGCAGGATCCATTTGCAGTTCCTAATCGCCCCAGCCTCTTGGAAGGCACAGCTCACTCAAGGCTCTGACCCATGGTGCCTCTCCAAGTAACGGCAGCCATGAGTGACAGAGTAACAAGATGGGAGCGTGGGGATAACCTGTGATAGAGGCTGGTGGTGCTAGAGATATGATAGAGGCTGTGATGGTGGGGTGCCAGGGGTAGTATAACCCAACTCAGTGGCTTCATTCTCTTGGTGGGTGTCTGAGTCAAAATGAATCCTAGGGCAAGTTAGGGATAATTAAATTAGGCAGCCTCAAGGACAGTGCAGGGACTTCAGGAGAGTTAAGGAAGGCTCCAGAGATAAGGGCCACAAATTCCAAAGGGGACTAATCAAATACCCCAGGACTTATGACATTAGGGACTTACTTTATGACCTTGGGGTCAACAAGACATTCCAAGTAGAGGGCAATGAAGAAAAAAAGATAAGGGCTGGGACACAGAGACTTAGTTCTGGGCCCAGAGACATTTAGGCAGTGAGTGAGACCACCGGGAACTAACCAATCACAGAGAGACTGGTGGAGCTTTAGAATAATTAGGGAAAGAAGATGGATATTCCCTGAGATATGACTCCACTTGGGCTTCCTTGCCCCTCTCTAGCCTGGTTTCCTGGCCTGGGAGTCCCACTTTATTTCTGTTCCTTTTCTCCTCAGTAAATTTCCTTTCTCTAAACAAACCTGCCTCTTCTCGCTTGTTTGCCTGAGCGTCTGCAAAGTTCCTGCTGTGGCTTCGTAAGACACCAACCTGTGGGGGTCTAGTGGCTGGGACTCAGCGCTGCCCCTGCAGCCTGGGATCTGTTCCTGGCTGGGAGACTAGGCCTGAAAACCTACAATTCCAGTATCAAAATAAAGGACACTGTTAAGATGAGGTGCATAAAGGACAAGTATTTATTTCCTTATGATAATCAAAGGAGACAGTGAAACTAGCACCTCCAAATACACTGTCTCTTCGAGGGGACTGTAAGGTGAAATTACGTAGTGTTTGGTGTGGGCGGGGTCTTCAGGAATGTCATTGTTCCTGGTGTCTTGTCGGTTTCCATTCCTTGCCATCGGCCTGTCCAACATGCCTTATCTTCAGCAGGGAGGTCTGCGGAAAAAATTTATCTTCAGGGAAACATGAAAGTTGTCTCTCATCTCATCTAGGTTTTATTTATGGACAAGAAACTAATATACAAGGTGACTTATGCCAGGATAATTATGAAGTTAGAGACAGTGGTAGAGAGATTGGTTAATTTTTTTTCTTACGTAGAACTGGGGTGTTGGCCAGAGATGTGGGGGATTCACCAGAGAAAGAGTGGGGAGCAGAAAAGGCAGATCTACTGAAATACACTGCTGAGGGGAGCAGCGGGCGAGGCAGGAGAGGTCTGCTGTGCCATGTGGGTAGCTCCCTGGGCAGGAATTTAACTCAGGCCATAGGGGTGATAGCACTGAGACTTAACCCCTAGGCCACCAGGGAGCCCCAAGGTTGGTGACTCTGATCCTCATTAGGTTGCTGGTGATTCTAAAGGGTGAGGGGACAGTGATGATGATAATGATGGTGTTGGTAGTAATGACATGACAGAGCAATGCTGATAAGGACAATACTGGTCATTGACTCTTAACTATAGTGGTGACACGAAGGTGGGTGATATTTAAGGTGATGGAAACAATGATATTGGTGGTGGTAATAGTGGTAATTTTCACAGTAATATTTGTGATCATTATTATGTTGATGATGGTGAGGACAAAGTTCAACCATTGGAATTTCATGCATTCTTTCAAAACCACTTGGTAAGTACCCCCAGGGCCAAGAACAGAGGCAACACTGTTGGTCTGTGTAGGAATGCGGTGACAGTCCCCCACCCTGTCCTCCCCCAGAACTCCCTTGCCCAGCCACAACCATCCCTAAGCAGAATGTCTGGCAGCCAACTGATTATCTTTGGTTGTGTGTCTCAGGGTGAGGACTCTCCCTCCTTGCAGAGCCCTGGGGAGTCCCCAGAGAAGCAAGATGGCTTAGCTCAGATGGCGCCGGACCTGACTGTGATCCAGTTCATTAAAGGTAAGTGAGTTCAGACCAGGCTAGTGGGTGGTGGGTCCTGTGGCTGTACAGGATCCAGCCTCTTCCTGCCTTTCTCCATTGTCTCCCACACCTGCAGGACCCACCTGGGTACCACAAACTCTCCCTGTCATTGCTCATATGATCCCCTACTCCTCACCTCCCCATACCCCCATGCCTGGAACATCATTTTCTGTTACTATCTATCAAACTCTTCCTTGTCCTATAGGCCAAGCTCAAGTGCTACTTCCCTTCCTCCTTGCAGCTCTCAGAGCCCTCAGGGCTTCTATGGCAGCCCAGATCTATACCAAATACTTGTCCAGCCCTCCCCTCAGTGAGCTCTTGCGCTGGCTCATCTACAACCCTTCCTCTCTACCGCCTCTGAGCCTGCAAACAGAAGGCTCTCAGTAAATATTTATTAAATTTCTAGAATGTGGTCTGGGTGAAGGGAGCCTTGGGCCAAGGTCCAGGAGGCTGGGCTGTGCTCCTGGGTCCTGCTCCTTTTTCCACCTCAGCTTTCCTATCTGTACAGTGAGGGGTCGATTCAATGATCTAATATCGTGTCACGCTGGTCAATAGCCAGGGTTCGTGTGGCAACCAGGCTGTCCTTCTAAAGATTCTGATCCCACGAGCTTTGATAGGGTACCTGCTGGGAGCCAAACTTTTGTAGAACCCTGAAGAATAAATCAAAGGCCTGGCATGAAGCCTTGCCCCCGCACTGACCAGAGTACAGTCTTATAGAAGTTACTTTCCATCCCGAATCCTCATCTGAAACATTGCGTCAATAATCCTTGTTCTGCTTCTCTCAAGGTTGTTAGGAGAATCGAGTGAGATGATGAATGGAAAGCCTTTATAGACTATTAAAAAAACTCTTACTTATATAAGGTACAATCATTATTTCAGTTATCAATCTTGCCCCCTAGTATTATTATTCTGCCAGGAGAGTGATAACCAAAGGGTTTGCTTGATGCCCTTTTTTGATAGAAAGCAACAGAAAATGATGTTCCAGGCAGGGACAACCCCCTTCACCTCACTAAGGACTTTTGAAACAGGAAGTTAATTAGGCCAAATCTGGGAGAATAGTTTCTTAAGAATTGATGTTGAGATACCAGTAATCCAGTCCCCTCCTCACCCCCCACCCCCACACCAACTCTGCAGCATCCCCAGGGATAAGGCAAGTGAGTCTGAACTCCGGGGGGCTGGGGCTGGCCCCAGAGGCAAGGCCTTAGACTCGCTAACCTGAGCTCACCCCTCCTGTTGGAACACCCCTGCACACTGCTCCATGGGACAGTTTATTAATCATTGCTTTGGCTCCTGCCCAGAGGGCCATGTGGGCCAGCACTGAAATTGGATCCTGGAGTGGGTGTCCTAGACCAGATTGTCTCTGGTGGTTTCAGCTCCTATATGAGCCTAGAGGAGACCAAGGCAGGACTGGCCTTGGGCCCTGTGGGCTTTCTGCTGAGCTCCAGAGGGACCAGCCTGACCTTGTGGCTTGGCCTTGACTAGCTGGGACCATGGGGGGAGGGGGCAGAGGACGGAGGATCCATGGTTCTTCAGCGGGAGGAGTCCCTAAGCCAGGGAAAGCCCCTGACTGAAGGGGGCAACATAGTTTCTGAGGGGGGTGGCATTTGATGGGGGAGATGCAGTCTCTGTGCTAGGGAGGTCTCTGACTGATAAGGGAGAGAGTGTCATTGAGCTCAAAGTGGGCTCTGACAAATGGAAGACACATTAGTCCCCAAACTGAGGGGGCAACTGTCCCCTCTGAAGGAGGATACCATGCCTCTGAGATGCAAGAAACCCCCATCTGACGAGGGAGACATAGTCTTTGAGTAGAGGGAGGCCCTGGCTCGTCTGACGGGAGAGACATTATGCTCAGCTGCCTCCTAGCTGGAGATTCCCTTCAGGTGGATATCCCTACCTAAGTGAAAGGCATAGTCCTGACCTCCAGGAATTTTCCATTAGTTCGAGAGACATGCTGAAAAGAGAATGGAAACAAAGTGCGCTGCCGTGACCGCCGCAGGAGAATGGATGGAAACAATGAACCAGACCAGGCCCTCTGGAGTCAGGCACAGAAATACGGAGTGGTGGGATCAGGAGTCAGGAAATCCCAGGCAACTCCAGGCCTTGGCCTGGCTTCTCTGGATGAACTTGGGCGAGTCCCTGCCACATTCTGAGCCCCACCTGCACAATGAGGGCACCTGTAGAGCTTGGACCAGCTCATGGAGGGGGGGAGTCTGGCACCTGGGGTGAAGCCCAGCGATCATACCTACCCATTCCAGAAGGCACTGCGTGTGTAGCGAGTGACTAGAGACAGGAGGCAGACCTGGGGCATGAAGGAGGGAAGTTCCAAAGCCACAGCTCCCACCCGCCCTGCCTGGACTGTTTGTCTTTATTTTCTGGCTTCTAAGGAAACAGCTTCTGACCCAGTCCAGGGAACTGGGAGTCAGTTAGCTTAGCCATGCTCTGAAGACAAACAGATATCTCCCATGACAGAGGCCTTTGTCTTACAGTTACAGGAACAGAAGGGATTCCAGTCAGCCCACAGCACCCACATGGCCATCCCTCCCTCCAGTTCCGGGTGGCAAGTGGTTTGCTCCTCTGATGCCTCTTCCTAGAAGGAGCTTCATCCCCCACTCCTGCACACCTTATTTCTAACTCCAGTCTCACCTCCTGCAGCCAGAAGCACGTCTCTTCCTCTTGTTGGTGGACAGAGGGTTGTACATGTGACAGCAGATGCATTCTTGGACACACCCTGGCTGCCTCTGCCGGTGACGTCCTGAAGCCCAGGGTTCGAGACTTACCCTTTGATTTCGGAGACTTATGAGGGAAACCTGTAAATGAAGCACTGTTGCAAGAGTTGCAGGAGTTGGGGGAAGTTGTCAGCCCTAGGACAGTCACTTTTATTCTTGTCCCGTGCTTTTGCCTCTGCTGGGCATTTAGGGTTCCTTTTCCTTTCCACCCCACCACCAAGTGGAGTGGACGTGTGCCTGCTCTTGAGGATCCCCCTTTGAGCTGATGCCCAGGCCGCTGCCCAGCCCTCTCAGCTTTCACCTACACTGGAGGTCTTAGATGCTGTCCTAATATTTTGATACCTGATCACATGTTAGTAGGTCCATTCATTCATCCTTCACTCGTTGTGTAAATATTTACTGGGTGTGTACTATGCTCTGGGCTCTGGAGATTCAGCAATTAACACGATGGACAGAAATCCCTGCTCTTTAGAAGCTTACCTTTTGGTGGGGTTGGGGGTGGGGGCGAGGGGGGGCGGCGGAGCAATACAATGGCTAAATGGGTAAAATGTGCAGTATGTTAGGTAGAAGTGTTATGGGGAGACACAAAGGAGAGGGAGATCAGGGATGGGGAGGCTGTCCCACGTTGGGGGCCCAGAGGGAAGACGGAAGCCTGGCTTGATTTAGAAAGAGCCGTAGAAGAACAGGATAGAAAGAGCTGAGAAGGAAAAAATCGAGTGAATAAGGAGGATGGAAGAGACGAGATGAGATGGGGTGGGATGAATGAGATGAAATAAGATGGTGTGTGCACGGAATTGAACTCTGAATAGAACTGAATGGAAAGAAACACAACTGGATGAAATGCAATCTCACTCAATGGAAAGGAAAGAAACAGAATTTCTGAAATGGATTAGATTTAAATGGAAAAGAGTCAACTGTAATGGGACAGAATTGAGTGCAATAGAATTAGATGGAGTGAGGGGGTGTGGCTGGAAGGGAAAGGAGTGGAACCACTGTCACCGCACAGAGTGGGATGGGACAGACGTGAATGGCGTGGTTGGTCTGCCTGCCTGACCTGCCCTCTCTTCCAACAGTCTTCCCCAGGGTACTTCTGCGGACCCTGCGCCACCCCATCTTCCTGCTGGTGGTCCTGTCCCAGGTGTGCATGTCATCCATGGTGGCTGGAATGGCCACCTTCTTGCCCAAATTCCTGGAGCGCCAGTTTTCCGTCACAGCGTCCTATGCCAACCTGCTCATCGGCTGCCTCACCATACCATTGGCCATCACGGGCATTGTGGTGGGGGGCGTCCTGGTCAAGCGCCTCAACCTGAGTCCCAAGCGTTGTACCCTCCTCTGCCTGCTGGGGGCGCTGCTCTGCCTTCTTTTCAGCCTGCCCCTCTTCTTCATGGGCTGCCCAACACACCAGATTGCAGGCATCACCCCCCCGACTGGGTGAGTGTGTGAGCATGAGGGAGGGACAGGTCAGTGGGGTACCTACCTCCAATTTCACCTCCTCTCTCCAAGCCCTGTTTCCTCTCCCTATTTGGATCTATGGTGAGCTGTGAGAATTCGTAAGGAAGGTTCTGGTGAGGATATCAGAGACCACTAGAAGGGGCAGGACAGCTCAGGTTGGGGGTTGCAGCAGGGCGAAGCCACTTTCAGGGATGGATTCTCTAGAGCAGCTGGCTGAGCCCTGTGCAGGGGTGGCTCTGCTCTCAAGCAGAGGAAAGGCCTGCCCAGGAGGGAGCACAATTTCCCTCCCTAGGGAACAGCAGGGGACTGTGAGGACAGGCTGGAAGGCCCCGGCAGGGAGGCTGCAGAGAGGATTTAAGCCCTGGGAAGGGATAGCCAGGACAGCTTGGAGATTCTTGGATTGAGAGCCTGGGTGTTAAAATTCTGTTGTTCCATGACCCTAAAATTCCAGAATTCTTTTTCCAAGTCTGGAACAGCACCTGCCTCCATTCTCCGGAAGGAAATTCTCAGAGGCCTTTGCCCCACTCTGCACCAAAAGCAGACGGTCTCCTCTGGGCAGCTGTGTTGGAGAGGATGTTGGAAGTTACATTCCTGCCCCTTTTCCAGAATGACTTCATTTTTTCTGGGAACAGCTTCAGAATTAGGCTGGCCCAACACTCAGCCAGAATTCCCCAACTTTCTGTATTCCCTCCTCGCCCTGGCCACCTCTCCCCCCACCCAGGTACTGCTTCCTACTCCTGTGTGTCTGTGGCCCCAGAGCAGGTGCCTTGGGTCAGGGCCCAGACTGCTCAGGTCACTGGCTTCTCCCCAGCTCCTACCCCTCCACCCTCTCCTTCCTGTCCCTCCTTTCCCAGGGAGGCAGCTCTGCAGGCTACCATGAGCCTCCTGTCTTTTGCCTCTGCTGGGCTCTTAGGGGTTCCTTTTCCTTTTCACCCCACCTCCAAGTGGAGTGGACGTGTGCCTGCTCTCGAGGATTCCCCTTTTAGCTGATGCCCTGGCCGCTGCCCAGCCCTCTCAGCTTTCACCTACACTGGAGGTCTTAGATGCTGTCCTAATATTTTGATACCTGATCACATGGTAGTAGGTCCATTCACTCATCCTTCACTTGTTGTGTAAATATTTACTGGGCGTGTACTATGCTCTGGGCTCTGGAGATTCAGCAATTAACACGATGGACAGAAATCCCTGTTCTTTAGAAGCTTACCTTTTGGCTTCCCCCACACCCTCGTGAAGTCCTTCCTCTGAGGAGAGAACCAGGGCCTTGAAATGATGTTTGGAGTAGAAAGTAGATCGTTGACCACAATTTTTAAGAAGCAAATGAAGGAAAGTCCGCTTGCTCCTCACACCCTAGTTCTCCTTTATTCTCCCTTGACGCTGCTGTCGCATCTTGGGGTGTCCTCATCAGTATTCCTGCAAGGTAGTCATTGAGCTTTGGATTTTAATTCACTGAAGAGGCCTTTTAGGACCAACTGAGCAAATTGAGGAGAATTTCTCATTCTCCAGCACCACCAGCGGTATGACAGCTGGAGGAATCAGGGTGTTCCATGAGCCCAGCACCGCACACAACTCCACATATTAGCCTTTCTGGGAGCTGGCAGGTGGATCCTGTCATTACCCCCACTTTACAGATGAAGGCAGTGGGGCTTGAAGCAGTGAAGTTACCTCCTAGGGTAGCCCAAATGAGAGGGGGCTGAGCCCAGAGCCAGGGTCTCCCCAGGGGAGCAAGGGGTTGAGAAAGAGCCCCTCTCCCACCCCCTCTATCCCACTCGGCCTTCTCACTGCTGGCAAGGGGTGCTCTGACAAGTGCCAAGCCATGTGCAGGCCCCCCTGGCACCACTCCTGATGAGCCTTCTACTCAGAATTCACACTGTTCTCCTTCCTGCAGGAAGCAGACACCGCACCGTCAGGCTTGTCAGGCAGAGGGGACTGTGCTGGTAGAGGATAGAGACCCCCACCTTAGAAAGGGCGTGGAGCTCTCCCAGGCCCACTGCCCTACCCCTGGAGATGGCTCCAGGCCATCTCCACATTGTCCCCTGCCCCCTCTCCAGCCCCTGCTAATTCTCTTCTCCAAGGAGGTGAGATTCCACTAAGCTGTCCAAGTCCACCCCTCGGCCCTCACTCACCAAGATCCAAGGAACTTGGCCTTCCCCCTCCAGCCTTAGCTTGTGCCTTGGCTCCCTGAGAGGTTTGCTGAGCTCCCTCCTAGCTGTGGAGCCAGGACACACTCTGAATTTCAGGGGTAACCTCTACCCCCTCAGACTCAGCCTCCCTTCTGACGTCCTGCCCCTGTTCAGCCCACCTTGCCCTGGCCCACTAGAGAGGGGCGTACCTGAAACATGGGGGCAAGCCCTCAGTGGGAAGCTAGTGGGACTTCAATCTGCCCTGGACACTGTGACCAGAGAATCGAGAATGAGCCATGAGGTTGTGAGACCACCGGAGGGCCATGGAGGGGGCCCCAGCCAGGGCAACGCAGAGAAGCTGGAGACCAGGCAGAGGCAGGAACAGACTGGAGATTCTGCAGCTAGTCAGGTCTCTTGATCAGGACCCACAAGCATCAGGCCCCACAAGGCTGAATTTTCTAAGAAAATCAAGTGATCTGTGTCATTGAGACAAAGGCTCTTTGCAGCTAAGGCTAAATTCTGGGAGGAATTTATCTTGCATTCCCTAAGAAGGGTCTTTGAGGAGCAGAGATATTTGCACAAGTATTTCAGAGAGTCATAGGATCTGGAGGCCAGAGAGGATCTCAGAAGGTTCTGGGCCATTGCCTGTAGCTTGCTGCCCATCTCCCAGCTGTCATACCTCCAGGGTCGGGGCTCACCACCTTGGGGCAGCCCTGACAGGGAAACACCTCTGTATGGAGCTGAAATCTCTGGTCATTGCTCACAGGGGGAGAGGGGTGAGGTGACCTCAGTTTGTGGCCCAAGGGAAGGAGAGCCAGGTTAACCCTGCAGGTCTTCTTTCCCCAGACCCAAGCCAGGCCTGGAGCTCTTTCCACGCTGCATGGAGTCCTGCTCCTGCTCATCAGATGACTTTAACCCCGTCTGCGACCTCAGCACCCACGTGGAGTACCTCACGCCCTGCCACGCAGGCTGCAGGAGCCAGCTGGGCCAGGAGGCTGTAGACAAGAGCCAGGTGGGTCAGGCCTTGGGCGGCAGTTCTGCCCCTCATGGCCTTCGCCCTCCCCTCTCGGTACCTGAGCTGCTCACCACCTCTGAGTGTTTTCACTCCCTGACTTCTTTCCTCTCGCCTTCTCTCCCTCTGTCCTTCCTTCCTTCTGTCTCTTTCCATTGGCGGATACAGAACGTTTCCTCTCAATAAGCATTCATGGCCAGCCTGGGCCTAGCCGTGTGCCTGAAGCCATAGCACAGAGGTGAACCAGAACTGGTGCACTGTCTGAGCAGGGGAGATAGAAAAAGGAAATGCCCAGAAATCCCAGTGGTGCTGACAGGCAGAAGTGGTCCCCACAAATATATTCAAGGGTGGAAGGAGAAACATCCCACCTAGGAGGGTCTCAGAAAACATCAGGGAGGTAACATTTGGCTCTTCAAGGATGAGTAGGCAAACTACAGAGGCAGAGTCTGGAAGCAAGAACATGCATGTCACACACACACACACATACACACACACACACACAATATTTCAAGAAACTGCAAAGAACTTGTTGGAGCAGAAATAAAAGGGTTCACGGAGGGAAAGCAAGACCCAAGAAGGAAGGGCCTTAAACTTTATCAAGAAAACAATGGGGAGCCGTGGCTGTGTTTTAATAGGTCATGACAGGGTCAGATCTGCATTTGATCACAGCTGATGCCACAGTGTGGAGGAAAAAAGGCAGAGTTCAGGCGAAGAGACAGGAATAACAGTGGACGCTAGCACAATGAGCCCACTCAATCAGTTAATTAGTCAGTCAGCAATACTTCATGGTGCACCTCTGCTGTGCCAGGCCCTGTGCTGGGGTCTCAGGACCCAGAGCCAAGGGACCCTGCTATCACGGAACTCTCAGTGGGAAAAAAGGGCAGCATAACCAGAAGCAAGGCCTTTTAAGTGAATCTCAGTAAGGCCACTAAGACCAGCTGACTCCTGCTCCTCTGGTAGGTGGGGGTATGCTCTCCCTCCACCTCTGTGATGCAGAACTCTGCTGTCACTGTGGCTCTGGCCATCTAAGCCCATGGCCCTCCAGGGAAGACATAGACCCCAGGGCTGGGGCAGAGGGAAGTACCCTCTGACAATGGGGCTTCATAAGTCAATCAAGAACCATCTGGGCTATATAAACTGTTTGCATTTCAAATACCCACAACCCCCTCTTTTGGGTCTGTTAGCACTCATTGTCCTGACCTGTTTGGATTTCCCAGAGAACAATTTCAGAGGTCCTCAGGACCTGGCAGCTGAAACAGGATCCCTAAGGGGACAGTGAATTCCTGCGGATATGGGCCCTGAGTGTTAAGGCCAGGTTCAAATCCCTGTTGTGCCTCTTACTGGTTCTGTTACCTTAGGCAAATGACTTCATCTGTACCTCAGTTTTTCGGTCTGTCAAATGGGGGTGATAGTATTGCATGCCTACTAAATACCAGACACTTTATCTGGATGAATTTGTGAAATAGTAAGTGAAGAGCCACCTGACATAATCCATGGAAAGCACTTACTTACCACTGTGCCCACGGAAGTTTTAAGTACTCAGTAATACACCTTCTTGTTGTATTATACTCTTTAAAAAAAAAAAAAAAAAACCAAAATCCAGCTGAATAAACTGAAAGATCAAAATGGCTTTGCTAAATGACTCACATATCAGATAGCATCCTATCTAGCAAGTAGAAAGGAGCCCCAAAGGGTTATACAAAATGGAAGGGTTTCAGAGGCAGAAGTGGAGAGGGGAAAAGGAAGACAGTACTGTTTTAGGCGGGTCCCTTTTTTTGGGGGATCAGACAGGATCATCAGGCCAGCCCAGCTTGCCCTGGAAAAGGTTTCATTTCTGGGAAAGTTGACTCAGAAATTAGCTTAGGCATTAAATCTGGGTTTGCCAACTTGAACCCTAGCACAAATGACTCCATTTGGGGCCTCTTGTCTCCTTTCTAACAATACAGATGGAAATGGAGGCCCGTAAATGGAGCAGGCATTGCCCAAAGCCTTAGAGCCTGAGCTGGGACTAGAACCAAGGGTCCTGGCTTCCCAGCTCAGTCTCCTCCCTTAGGCGCATCTTCAGAGCTTGTGTTGGGCGACAGCGCTTACATGGTCGCTCCAGCTTGGCATTCTCTCAGCAAGTCTGCCTCCTAGGCCGACTGAACTCTCGGCTCATGGGTGGGGGGTCTGGGATCCACACACTTGTGCTCAGTAACCATTTGTGACTGGGCGAGTAACCAGGGGAAACTGGGCAGGGGTGGGCAGCTGAGGGGATCTAGAGTTCAGGGGTGGGGCTGAATCCTTGGGAGAATGAGACCCGGGCAGCTGGGGAGATTGAAGCCACTCATAAGAACTTGCTGCCATGGAATCAGATGAAGGTGAAGGAGGGACTGGGGAAACCCTTCAGCTTTTGCATCCATTCCAGCCACCCTCTGCCTCTCAGAAAAGGAGCAGGGGCAAGAGATGGCTTTTCCAGCGACCTTGCCTTGGTGTTGTTCTCCCCTTACCTGTCCCTCCACGGTACCTCTAGCCTAGTGGGCTGCTTGACCTGTAGTTGAAGATTCAAAGGCCACTTTTTCTGCAGTGTGAAATGCTGTGTGCCCAGGAGGTCACACAAAGGCATAGGAGCTTTGCAGGAAAACAGAGAGGGCACCAAACACCAGAGCCCAAATCTCTCTCCCCATTCCACCTCCTCACCTTCTCTCAAAACCCTCTTCTCCATCCTTCTCCCTCCTCCCTGCTGCCCAAACCACTCTCTCTTCATTGGGCATGTTCACCTGCCACTCCCACTCCATCCGTCCTGCAGTGACCGCAGCAGCCTTTGGGCTGTCAGGTCTGTCTCTCCCACACTTAAATCTCCCCAAGACTTGCAGCATCTACCTTGGGGCTTCCCAATCCCTTTCACATTGGGAAACGACTAAGGCTGCAAGGGCTAGAGGCCAGAGACCCAGAGGGTCCTGGCAGCTCAGGGCCAGCCTGGCCTCCCTAAGAACTGATGGAACCCTCCCTAAACACCTGTCTCCCCGGGAGGCCCCGGGGTCCCTGTGAGCTCAGGTGGAGGATCTCTGGTCTAAGGTGGAAAGGACAAAAGCATGAGCTTCCGGGCTTGGCTTTGCTCCTGTTGTGTCGCCTGAGGGCACTGGCCTCCCAGACCTCTCCTGAAAGCACCCTTGGCTGGAGCTTCTCCAGGCCCAGGAGGGGGTGGGAATGCGGTCCGCAAACACTTGCCAGCCAGCCTGGAGACGTTCCCTTGCTGTTTGGAAAGGGGTCAGCTTTACTGATACTTTAGTCCTCAGAGGATCCCCACTTCTTTAGGGGGCTCCCATTAGACCTTTTACACTGGCAAGGGAGGGCTAGGACTTGTTCTCTGGCCCTATAGCCCTCCAAGCCTCAGAAAGGTTAGACCCCTTTGTACAAGTTTCTGCAAGCACCTCAGGGCCAGGCTGGTTCCAGGACCCTGCTCTGCTCTCTACATTCTGACCTCACTTAGAACTGATGCGTGTTTCACTTTACTTTCGGATCCATGGATGGAGCAGAACAATCAATACATTCAATACTTTATCCGGCATTTTAAGTAGGATGATTGGTAGGGCATCCAGCCCGCCATATTTTTGGAAACAACAGTCCAGACTCTGCTTTCATGTCCAAGGCTCTTCAAGATCTCACCAAGAACTCACCACCCACCCTTACCCCTTCACCGCCCCCTACCCCAACACACACACTCTCTGTTCGAGGCAGAAGGAAAGATTTGCTGGGTTCTTTCATGCCCCTGTGATTTTACATTTGATGCTCCCTCTAGTTACTTCAATCTTCCTCCTAGAGAACTCCTAGTCATTCCTCAAGACCCAAATCCGACACCCGTCTTGGGTGATGCCTTTCTTGCCTCTCACCCATTGTCCTAGGCCCCCAAAGTACTCTCTGCATCTCCCCGTCCAGCACTCACATCTCTCCTTGAGAGTCCACTCACGGACCCAGCACCCCAAATGACCTCAGTAAAGTGGGAGACTGAGCTGGAAATTCTGCTTCCTTTCCGAAAGCACTCTTTGTAGCTTTGATTCCTTACACAAAAGGTCAGGAAGTGGGAACATTCTGATATCACCAGGAAAAAGTTAAGAGTATGTAAGTGGTATGTGAGTGTGTGTGTTAGTGTGTGTGGTATGTGAGTGTGTGTGGTGAGTATATGTGTGGCCTACGAGTATGTGTATGTGAGTATGTGTGGATTGTGAGTGTGTGTGTGGTGAGTGTGTGTGTGGTGTGTGAGTGTGTGGTGTGTGTTTGTGTAAGAATGTGGCGTGTGTGTATGTGGTGGGTGGATGTCAGTGCGGTGATGACTATGAGTGTGAGGTATGTGAGTGCAGTGTGTGAATCTAAGTGTGTGTGGTGTGTGAGTGTGGATATTGGGGACGGCTGCTCTCCTGGGCGCCCTCTCTTTTCTCTTCTCCTCATTCCTCTCCCCACGTCCTCAGTCTGAGCTCAGCCCATTTGCGCTCAGACAGCTGTGTCTGCCTGCCTGCCTGGCTGCTCAAGCCATCCTGGTCAGCTCAGGAGTCGGAACCCCAGTGTCCGGACAGCTCCGGCCCAGCTTCTTTATGCCCTCGGGCATCTCCTGGCCTTCTGGGGCCTCAGGCCCTTGCCTGGCTGCTGATCTTTGGAGGATGCTGAGGGCTCTTCTTCCCCTCCCCCTCCTAGGTCTTCTACACCAACTGCAGCTGTGTGGCCGAGGGTGTCTCCGTGGTGGGGGGCTCCTGCGACTCAGCCTGCAGCTACCTGGTGCTGCCCTTCATGCTGCTGGTCAGCCTGAGCGCCGCCCTGGCCAGCGTCACTCACACCCCCTCCTTCATGCTCATCCTAAGGTGAATAATGGCAGGCCGGGCGGGGGACACACAGGGGCCCTAACCACAGGCAGGACAGGACCCCTGAGGGAGAAGGTGGAGGAAGAAGGCCACTCAGGGGTCCCAGTTCCCTGCAACAGGACAGGTCCTCCCTGTCCTGCCTTCATCCTCCCCGGTGACCCCCTGAGATGCTGTCTTCTCCCCATCTCACAGATCAGAAAACTGAGGTTCAGGGCAGTTCATGGCTCCTAGCAAGTGTCATGTAAGAAAGTACTGGCCCTTCTCACCCCAGCAGAGGGGCAGCCGCCCCAAAGGGGCTGCCCTGGCCCCCCTGTCAGAATGTGGAGGAGGTGGAGGTGGTGCTGACTCCCAACCCACTCACCTGCAGTTGCACAGCTGGGGGCACGGACAGTGTGTTCGGGAACCAAACGCCATCTGAGCATGGCTGAGAAATCTGTCATTTCAAATCCATGAGCACTACTTAAGCGCTGGCCGTGAACCCAGCCTGTGCAGAGCGCTGCCTCTTGGTGCAAGAGCTTTCTGGACATGACTGGGGGTGCCTGCTGGGCCTGACATATATCCACTGGGGCCAAAGTCAGCACCTCCTGGGGTAAGAGCTAGGATAAGGGACCCTTGGGAAAATTCCAATTTCTCATTCTGCTGGGATTATTTTATTCCCTATATACTTTCTGGAAAAATGATCCATAAACCAGGAGGGCCACAGAGGAGGTAAATGAATCAGATACCCTAGTAGGCAGCCATACAGGTCACACCGGCCCAAATCGGGTTCTGGCACCCAGCAGCCACAAGATCCTGAGCAAGTCTCCCAACCTGCCTAAGCATTGGTCTTCCTACCTGCACAATGGGGCTAATTAAATACTTGCCTCCTGGGTGCGTGGGGGTCACGGTGCAGAATGACTGAGCCTGGAACAAGCACCCCGTCACGGCCCTTGCAGGGCTGACTTAGGCGCGGAGCCGCTGCAGCAGCGCAGTGGAGGTTATCTGTAAGATGGGGAGAACGCGTCATCTCAGGAGGTTGCCATGGGGACAAAGGTAGGTCAGGGAGGACCTGGTCTCTTGTGGAAACTCAGCTCCAGGTTTTGCCAAGCGTGGGAGGAAGAGGAGAACGTGGGGAGAAAGGAGGAATCTGTGAGCAGGAGCTCTGGGAATTCGGTGCAGGGCCCCGATGGCTAGTGAGTGTGCCTGGGACATGGGGCGCAGGCTCTGTAGGTTGGAGAGGAATGGGTACAAGACTTGCCCCAAACCCACAGACCTTCAGGCTAGAGGAAGGCAGGCACGGGGTTTGGGGAGAGAAGGGGGGTCAGAAGCCCTGTGGGCTGGAAGCCTCCTGTCCCTCATGCCGGGTCCCTGCTTGCTAGGGGCGTGAAGAAAGAAGACAAGACTCTGGCCGTGGGGATCCAGTTCATGCTCCTGAGAGTCTTGGGTAAAGAACCTGGTGGGGCCACGGGTTCAGATCCCCACTGTGCACTGGGCTGGGGGCGCAGGGAGGAGTGAGCCCAGCTCCCACCTTCGGGTTCACAGACCCACGGAGCAACAGACTTGACCGAGGTGTCCTGGAGGTGGGTGTCAGCACCTGGACAGAGTCAGGGAGGCTGCATCTGATGCCGGGGTGAAGATGGGCTTGGGGCTATAGACTGATGGGCCAGGAGGTCCGGGAGGTTCAGAGTCCCTGGGAGGGGTTCATTGCAGGGAGCAAGGGGGGGCAGGGATGGCAGGCCCCACTGTCCCCTGAACTCCCCTTCCCATCAGCCTGGATGCCCAGCCCTGTGATCCACGGCAGCGCCATTGATACCACCTGCTTGCACTGGGCCCAGAGCTGTGGGCGTCGGGCCGTCTGCCGCTACTATGACCACGACCTGCTCCGAAACCGGTAAGACTGGGGGCAGGGGTGGGCTGCCAGAGGTGTGGAAAGGTGCTGGAAATATTCTCAGGGATCCAGGCAGGACACCAGCAGGGAGGGGCATCCGCCTGACAGGTGATGGGTGCTCTATCTAGATGAGGAGAGTTGGAGTAGTGGCCAAGGTCGCACAGCCAGTAACTGGCTAAGCCCAGCCTTGAATGCACACTGTGTGCTGTAGTCTGTGCAGGAAGAAGTGTCGGTGTGGTAGGGCCTGGGAGAGCTGGGGCAGCAGTCCAGTGTGGGAGTGACAGGGAGCTGGGGTGGGGCAGGGAGAAGGCCCTGTCTAGGACACAGGAGGTCAAGGCTGAAGGCCCAGTCTGTCTTCCTCATGTGTCCCCTTTTCTGGGACTCAACTTTCCCTCCTGTACAATGGGGAACACAAAAGAGCCCGAAGTCAGAGCCCTCTGGCCCTGGGAGGCTGGGTTGTCAGCCAGGCTGAGAGCAGGGGTTTCCACTTCCATCCAGCTCGTCAATAGGAGACCTGAGGAGTGAGGGGGTGTCTGGCTCTCCACCCAAGGCCATGGGGACAGGGTGCATTGCCCTGGGGTTCCTCCCTCCGAGGTCTCGGTGTCTTCAACACAACAGCAATCACTGCCGAGACCACCCTGCCCCCGTCCATGGACATCCCAGCCCTGGACGGCAAGGTCCTAAGTTCGAGAGTCTCGTCTCTTTTCCCAGGTTTATTGGCCTCCAGTTCTTCTTCAAGATTGGCTGTCTAGCCTGCTTCGCCTTGATTTTGGTCATTCTAAGGCAGCAGGACAAAGAGGAGGGGACCAAGGCGACCGTGCCCAACCCTGGCCCACAGAAGCAGTCGGTAACATCTGGGCCAGCCCAGAAGCCGATTGAATCCAAAGTGTGAGCTGTCCTGGGGCCCCGCCCTGGCCGAGGCTGGCTGCCATGGCAAGGACCGACTCTGGCCCTTGGCCCGGGACTGGGTTTGGGGAGTCCTGTACTCCAGATCCAGCTCTTGTGCTAGCTTGTTGTGCAACTTCAGGCATCACTGGACCTCTCTGGGCCTTTATCTGCTCATCTGAACCAAGGAAATTCAAACCAAACAAACTTAGGGTTTGCTATGTTGGCTGCTTCTAAAGCAAGAGTATCTACCCCCTTCACTGCCCCCAGCCAGACTGACCTAAAATCAGGCTTTCCTGGGTGGGAGGACAGAGTATCTTTCCCCCAGGTACCCTGGGGTAAAGAAGTGGACAACAGTAGCCAGGCTATCCTACACATGAGCTCTAGCTCTGCTCTGTAGCTCACTAAGGGCACACTCTCTGAACTCCAGACACGTCCTCTGTCGGGTGGAAATACACTTGCCGGCTTTCAGGCTCCCTCCAGCTGTGACCCTCTGTGTGGTCGGAATGGACTCAGAACCTTCCCTGCTCGCCCATTAGGCCTGGAGGTGGGGCCAGCACAGCCTCTGTCAAGAAGTAGCCATTTGGCGCCCCCTGCAGGCAGAGATCTGGGCTGGGCACTAAGGGGAAAACCTGGGGCCAAGGGAGATGGTCTCACACTCAGGACATCCAGGACCAGCAGGGCTTCCTGGGGTTGATGTGAATTGGGGACACAGACCCGCTCCCCGAACTCAGGAAGTCCCAGTTCCCAGAGCCACAGCTATGGTGAAGCCTACTCACTGCCTTAGGGTTTCGGGGAGGGAGACATAGTCCCTATTTTCTAACTTCAAAGGCCAGACACACTAAGTACACACACTCACTCGTACCCTCGTGCTGCCAAGAGTTCACCCATATGACCAGGGCCCACCAAAGTCACTGTGACTTTTGTCACTAGAACCCCCATTTCACTATTTCCTCCCAGGGGCTCCAATCTGTGTCACCTGGAGTTATGGCGATAATGTTGGGTTTTGTAACACTTATGTTCTGGGGAGTAAGAAGTGGCTCTCTGTGCTTTCCGGGACCAGTTCTGTAAGGACCAGTTCTCTGTAAGGCCTGTAAGGCTGGTCCTTAAGGCTGGGAACAGTCATGTCAGGCTCGGGGTGTTAGGTAAGTCTACGGAAGGCTTGGGTCTAAACAACCGATCCTTTTCTACATCAGGCCTTGTCATGTGTTATGGCCTGTCTATCTGATGTAGTTATTTACCTGTGAGGGGGAGGGAGTCTCCTGATCAGCTCCTTGGCCATTCTGCAGCCTCCACATGCCCCGCTGTGGAGCAGACAGGATCCACCAATCCTGTGTCCAGTCCTATGTGTCCAGTTCTGGCTGGGGGCCTGGGGAGAAGCTGGGTGGTGGGGAGGGCAGGGAAACACCTGGGTTTTGCTTTCTGAGCAGCTCCCAGTGGCTGGGCCTCGAGGCTACCCAATGTGAGAGAGGGTGGAGGCACAGAAGTTCTAGTTCACCTTTTTATTCTTCCGGTTGATACCTTTAACCGTTTAACAAATAACTGAGCCTATATTTATCAATGCCAAGAATTTCAAAGGCTTCTCCAACAAGATGAAGCTGTTACTATGTTTATATTCTTTCTCCTTCCCTCCTGTTTCCCAGGTTTTGCTGAAATAATCTGAAATTATAGACACAGCTTATTATTAAATTTGTCCTTGCATAATGTCTCTTCTCGTACAAAAATTCTTTCTTACAAACTGCATTAGAGTTTGAAACAACCACATTATTTCCAGTTATTTAGATTTAAGTTTTACTGGATTCATCGCTTACCATCATTTCTCGTATAGTACAGCTTTCCCTATCTGTATAGTCTGGTCTAATTTTCGTTTGGCTGGGCTGCTTCCTCCAGCAATGGCTTCATAAATGGAATAAGATCATGAGCTCTGGAGTCCTCACCTGTCCAAACTGCCACTAGCATCTTACAGAGGAGAAAACAAATAAAAGTGACATGCCCGAGATCACACAGAAAATGGGTGGTGGGGCCGAGTTGGGTGGAGCTTTTGTGATGCTGGACAATTTGAGGGATCCTCTTTAAGAAGTGGAACACAAAATTAAGTAAGGGAAAGTAAATATCTACCTAAATGAGAATAAAAGCCAAAGCAAATACATGAAGCAATTTTTTCAAAGTATAGTATTTTTTTATTAATGAATTCTCTCACATGGCTCCAAAACACATAAAATGATGGGAAGTATTTTTCACAGGCCAGTTTTGAGAGCCAGGCAACATAAAACACATTTATATCACAAGATGACCTCTGGATAAGACGCCTGGATGTCACAATGCCAAATGAGTTGGACGGTGGGTAGGGAGATTCCTAGAAGCCGTTCTCTACACAGTGGTGGCCAGCAAGGACTTATTTATACATAGAGGGACTTATTTATACATAGAGCTGACTGAAAACCATATAAATACAACCCAAAGTAGCCAAATTAATTCTTTCCCCAACTCAGCTCCCCCTTAGCCAGGTCCCAAAATGGCTACACAAACCACATAAAGGGAAATTGGAGCACGGAGGAAGCTGGAATGGGAAGAAACAAGAAACAGCCATCTTTTTTTTAAAAAAAAGATTTATTTATTTTTACAAGAACCGGGGTACAGGCCAGATGCGCAGGAGGGTGAGAGGATTCATCAGAGACAGAGCAGGGAACCGAACAGGCAGACTGACGAAATACACTGCTGAGGGGAGCAGCGGGCGGAAGGAGAGGTCTGCTGCGCCATGTGGGATTCTCGCCAGCCGGCAGGGATTGAGCCCACTCTGCAGAGGCTGTGGACAGCTTCACAGTGCGGCGCTCAACAGCCTGCACCACCAGGGAGGCCCAAAACAGCCATCTTAATTGATGGTGGCCAAAGTATCTTACTGATGCAAACTGCACAAGAACATGACAATATGAACATTGTGGAGCCCCTCCCTGAGTCTGGGGAGAGACCCTGGGTGTCCCAGGAAACCTCTAAGTTGAAGAGGAGGTCCTTATGCTTAAAACTTCCCAGGATGGTGGGGTGATTCCCAGATGAAGAAGGTGTTACTGCTAGAGAGACTGGGCTGGAATCCGGGTTTGGGGGGTCGGGCTGGAGGGGAATAGGTAAAGGCCTGAAGTCTTCCCAGGGACTGAGGGGGTCCAGGAAGCAACCCTCTTCCCTAATATGGCCCCTGTCCCTGTAAGAATTTAATGAGTATGTACAGCATGGCGGTGGGGGTGACGTGAGGAAGACAGAGGGAGGTGGGTGCATGGATGGGAGATAGACTTTCTTTGCCCTGGCCTGGCTGCAGCTCTGCTTGTCCCCTAATCTCTCTTCCACTGTCAGCCAGGGCTCAGCAGACCCAGTCTTATCTCTCCCCACAGCCAGCCTGGGACAGCTTTTCTCAACCAGATTTACATTTTTATTGATTTTCTTTGTCCCTTCCAGAGAAGTCCCTTCCTCTGCTTCCCCTTTTGCTTTAAAATGGGTTTGCCCTGGGAAACAGCAGTTCTGAGGATGGCCAAGAAGTGATGGTTCAAGGATGGATTCATTTACCATTTATTCATTCATCCATCCATCCATCCATCCACCCACTCAGTCAACAAATCCTACACGACTGTTCCACTAGCACTTCTGAGGACACACATGTGTCAGGTATAGGAAACTCCCAATGCAAGCGATAAGCTGACAAGCAGTAATAGAAGCAGATTTCAGCGAGGGAAGAAGAGGAACATTCCAGGGGCCATCAAGGAAGACTTCCGAGAAAAGTTTAAATCAGAGAAGACCTGAAAGATGAGGCATGAATTTCCCAGATGAAGACTATAGGAACAAGCATGAGAAATAACAGAATGAGCACAGACAGGAAGGCATGAGAGAGGAGGTGTGTCTGAGACGTGGCACAGGAGTGATGGGGCTTGGGTGTGCCACGTGTGCCAAGTGATCAGTAGACAGGAGAGCTGAGACAGGAGGCTGGAGACACTGGGGACCAAGCCTGGAGTTCTAGCAGAAGACTTTGGATGTCTTCCTGAGGTCAAGGACGAGCCCTTGAAGCATTGATTGATGAATTATTCCATTGACTGGTTATTTTGAGCAGGAAGTGACATGACAAGATTTGTGTTTTAGAAAGGATGCTAGCTGCACCCTGGGGGCTTGGAGTAGAGAAGAGAAGCTGGAGGCTAAAAGCCCATTGGGCAGGAGCCTGGTGTACTAATCAAGAGGAGAAGTAGGAGGCCTTGAGCCAGGTCAAGAGAGGCATCTAGAAGTGGGGACATCAAAGCTGAGTCTTGAAAGATGAGTAGAAATGGACCAGATGGAGAAGTTGGGAATGGTGTCTGGGGAGAGGAAAGTGCACACATAGAGGCTCAGACTACAGAAGCTCCTAACAGCTCTGGGAAATTTCCACTACTTCGGCAGGCCTGCAGTGTGGCCCGAGAGAGGTCATGGTGAGGGATGAGACTGAAGAAGTGGGCCAAAGTCCTCAACTTCCCTCAGTATTCTGTCTCCCGAACCTAGACTCAGAAGGGAGCAGAGGGGTCAGTGCCATTTTTCCAGACGGAGCTTTAGGAAGCCACCTCCTCTGCACACCGTGGAGCCCTGGGTCAAAGAAGCAACTTACTTAAAAAAACCTTTCTATGATCACAACACTGTACATATTTAAAAGTCCCCTCCCACTTGATCTTCATAGTTTCCTGGTGAGGAATGCAGGATCTCTGCATAGAAGATAAAGAAACTTGGGTAGGAAATTGTCCAAGGTCACTCAAGGGTCCATTCCCCTGTTAAAACTCTTGATTTTTCCAGTAAACTTTTTGTCCCTGAATCACATAAACACAAGTTTTGGTAGATGCTAACTTGGCAGGTTGAAACATAATGCTCTTGGCCTGGGAAGACAAGATTTGGCAAGAAAATATGAGAGGATTCAGAAAAGTAAATTGTGACTCGAATAGGGCAATTATCAATGATTGGTAGAGAAGTGTATAGTAGACAAAAGGTGGCAATGAGGGAAGGCTCCCTGGTAGATGTAGAAAGAGGGGAGGCCAACCCAGAGCGGAGAGGAGGGGAAGGCAGGCACTATTAGGTTGCTTTCCTGTAGTCAATCCCCTCTTCTTTTCCCCAGAGCAAGGTATGCAGCCAGAGCTGTGATCCACGTCACAGAATGCCTTCTCCTTTGCCAGAGAGAGCTGTAAGAGTGGACATGGGACTTCACTCTGTTCAATGAGATGTAATGGTATGGCCTTCTTGAAAACTTTTCTCCTAGATAAAAGGTGTAAGAGGAGAAGCTCATTTTTGCTCCCACATTCTCCTTGGGAGAGCATGGTGACTGGTGTCACATCCGCCATCTTGTGCTCAAAAGGTTTGAACTTCAGCATGGGAAACCCCTGAGACAGCAGAGACATGAGAGGCATTATTGAATCCCAGAACAATCCTGAATCTACCTTCCTTGGGCCTCTTTGTTAAGGAAACAATAGATTTATGTCACTCTATACAAGGGTTTCTCTTACTCACATTATAACTGATTCCGTGAGCCAAGTACTCCAATTCCATCTTAGGCTATTTTCTTTTCCCTAGGAAGGAAGACTGGAAATGTGGGCTGGGAAAGGGCCTTGGGCTGGGAGGCAGGCGTCCTTGATTTGACCCTAGCTCTGCCTCTGGGTTGCTCTGTGATCTTGAGCAAATCCCTGCCCTCTGAGCTTCCAATAACTATAGCTAATATTTATTGACTGTTTGCCGTGTGCCAAGCTCTCTAAGAGCTTCTCTTCATTATCTCATTCAATCATCAAATCACCCTACTATTTCAGTACTATCATTCCCTTCGTATTATGGTTAAGGAGACTGAGGCCCAGAGATACCAGGTAATTTGCTCAAAGGTACACAGAAAATGAGTTCTGGGTCTCTGAATTCTGAATCCAGGCTCATCTCTCCCTAAAAGCCAGACACCCGACCACGATGCTATACTGACATGCAGTGAGAGCGAGTCTCTGGACACGATGACCTCTATTTCCAACTCAAATGTTCTTTGACTTGCTGTCCCATTTCTAGCTACATGATAAACAAACAAGCTTAATCCTAGAGAAGAAAGAAATAAGGACTGTCTTTAGCCATCTGAAAAGCTGTCATGTGAATGGGAGATTAGACTTATTCAGGGTAGCTCAGAGGACATGAATTAGACCAGTGCAGGGACACTGCAAGGAGAGAGGGTGCCACTTATATAAGGGAGACTTCCTAGGTGCCATTTGTCAGGCAGTAGAGGTGTATGCAGGTAATGATTCTCCTGTCATGACATTTAGGCAAGCCTGTGTTTAATAAACTTTTGTACAAAGTATTGCATCGAGTAGGGATGAGGCTAAATGACTTAAAACTGCGGTAGGAATTAAATGGAACAATACACTCCCAGCACCATAACTGATACAGAGAGGGTCAATAAACTTTCTTTTCATTTCCCTTTTGACATGGATTCTTGGATTTTAAGATTTGCTAATATGGATTTTTGATTCTTTGGCCCTAATATCCTACTACTCTATAATTTCAACACACTGTGATTCTGCTCAGCTACGAGGCTATGATTTTAATACTCTCACTTTCTATGATTATGTAGACTCTAGAAGCTGAACAGTCTATGATTTTGTAATTTAATAGTCGCTAGCTTTAACAATCCAAGATTCAATAAAGTGTCTCTCACCAGCTCCAGAAACATGAGGGAGTTGTGCCAAAGCTATGCTTC